CTGCCCGCAGCCCGTCCCTTCGTCCTCGCACTGTGCTGACGGACTGGTGGTGGCCACGATGCCTGAGGCCCCGGGCGGGGCTGCACACGAGGAAATGCGTCAGGGGGACTCGGCCTTCGCCCGGTGAAGCCCGGGGGAGCACAGTAGTGCCTGGGCCACGCCCAGGCGGCCCTCCTCCGAGTGCTCAGGGAGCCGCTCTCTTCGAGGGCTTACTTGAATGTTTAAAAAGTTAAGAGTTTCTCTGAGCGAACAAATTTCTTCTACAAAATTGCCTGTAGCAAGCATTCAAAAAAAAAAATCAGATTTTTTTTTTTTTTTGAACAATGAGTGAGTGTTCAGAGATGAGGAAGATCTGTAATAGCTCCATCTGGTGACACTTACCCTCACCAGTAATAATGCTGCCTGCCTGCTCTAGCAGCAGAAAATGGAACCTGTAGCAGGAGAGAGGCATTTGGATCATTTGTTACAACATTTTTATTGATGGAAGCAAACAGATATGTGTGTTAATGTGTTTCAGTGAAATTTACAGGAGCTCTGACAAAGAACGCACATGCTATGTCTTGTAAATGTGACATTATAGGCCAAACTAGCTGTTTTTCCCAGGGGGTTCTAGTAACCATTAGCACAGAAATTATGCCATTTTCCTCAGCATTGTCACCATCATGAAATGATTTAAAAAAAAAAAACAAAGTCTAAATGTGCCTGACAATTCATATTGACTTTCTCAAGAACAGTATTTTGGAAAACTTTCTGAAATTCAGATGACTTTTTTTTCTTTTTAGCATAGTTAATTCTACTAAGACTTCCACACAGGCGCTCATAGTGCACCTTACACAAGATGGCTGGTCCACAGAGGCTAAAAGCAGCATTAATAACTAAGTGAAAGCATATAAATGTTAGAAATCAAAAACGGAATTCCTAGTTCTAGCTCCAGAAGAATGAACGTACTTTAGGAAAATGTTGTTTCTAATGCATGGATGTGTTGTGTTTGAATTGTATCTGTAATTAGTTGGATTCTTTGCCTTCTTTCACATCAAGAGATTTTGAGATACTTGTTTATTGCACTAGCACCCAATTATCTCCCTTTCCTTCCCTTTTTCCTTCACAGTTTTGCTTCAAACACAGACAAAAGATGCAGGCGCAACAAAACAAAGATTCTGGTCTTCTGTTTAAGTTAGTGATATTCAAAGAGGGAGACTTAGACTGTGTCATACTGTGATCACATCACAGACTGGCTTTGGATGATTCTATGCATTGGTAAAGTGAAAAAAAATCCCTAAGTCAGCATCTTGACTGGTAAAGTCATACAACTTTGATCTCATACTATCACAACTCCAAACGCTGTTATTCCAGTCCTGAGTAGCTTTGATTTGCTCTAAAAATAGAGATGGTGTTCTGCATATTTTCCTTCTATGACCTGTCATAAAACTCAGCTTTGATGCAAAAAATCAAAATTGCCCTATGCAGGTCTTTCTCTCCCCTTGACATGCCACAGAAGTACCTATTTTTGCTTCATTGTTTGTTCAATAAACTCACGTCAAGCACATAATGAAGTTTGGCAAGATGGGAGAACAGAAATGATACTATGCAGGGATTTAATATTCCCCTCAGAGTTTCTTGCCAGCTATCCTTGCAGTGGCACAAAGCTTGAGCATGAACTCTTGCATAGGATAGAACAGGCATAAGCTTGAGCTTCTAGTCTGAAGGCTTGAGGTATCCATAATGCCAGACTATTAAGAAGGAAATCAACTACTAATGTTTTAAAGCTTGTCACTGCTTCAGTATATGTATTTGACTATTTTAATCATGTTTTTATCAAGAAATTAAATATATTTTATGCCTATTAGCTGAGGATAAGAATAAAGATGGTTTTTAGTCAGCTTTAAGTGTAGCTCTTTACATCATATTTTCCTCTCCAAGGAAGCTTATGTCTTCAATAATTTTATGTGTATATGACCCCTCTTGTTTTCTAGAGGAAGGAGCTCTTACTATAGTGTCCCATTTAACACGAACACAGGCAAAAGAACAGAATGTAATTTTTTTATTGTCGAGTCTTCCAGCAATTGCTGAACTTCACAACAATTGTCTGCCTTATAGAACTGAGCTGGTGGGCTGGGAGACAGAGAGAATGCCCCTGCTCATGCCAGAAGACATTGCTTACCTTAAAGAGACAACTTTCTCAGGCCATCATCTGGACTACCAGTTCATTCCCCAAATCCCCCTGCCTTTCTTCAGTTAACTTATTAAATCATTGTTTCTCCAACAGGAAGCCCAAGAAATCACTGTTCACTCTGAATATAGGATTGTTTGTATTTATTGTGGCAAAACACTTCATAGGTTTCCTTTAAAAGACTTTTTTCCACGTTTAGGAACAAATAGACTCTACGTGAAGAAAGGGAAAACCATATCTTGTTTTGGAAAGAACACTGAGTAAGGGCACATGCAAAGTTCAAACAGTCTTTTAAATAGTTTTCTCTCAGAATGTTTCATTAGTTTTGTTCACCTTCTCTAGTTTGTAAACAACTATGTAATCAATGAAAATATATTTAGCCTACCTTTAAAAAAAGATGTCTCCAGTATTAATTGGTAATAATAGTAAAATCATATGCAAGACAAAAATATTAGGATCTAGCATGCCTGTCCTTTAACAAGTTCTATTCCAAAATTATATTACATATATTAATTTCAACTTTGTAAATGTTGCATAATCTCAAATCTTTGAGTAGTCAGACAGTGATAAAAAATGATTAAGAAACCGGGCAACCTTTCTGTATTGTGAACGCTATTCATTTCAAACATTACTTGCTAGTAAAGTGCTGTTACAAGCAAAATGAAATCATTAGTGTCTATTGAAAGCAGATGATATTTTAGTAATATTCAAATTGTACTTGTTTTGGCAAATAGTTAAAAGCTTAGACATGTTTGTTTAACCACCCAAACCTAATTCAGTATAAATAATACTGGTTTCCAATAATTCTATGCTAAAAGGCACATACTAATGTTCCAGCAGTTTGTTCAAGTGAGCTTTTGCATGTAGAGGTTTAATTGTGCTTTTAAATAGTTACTGATTCAGTATGACCTTGAAAGTGACATTTGTGCATGTCTAAAATACCTTCTCACAAATGAATCTCACACTCTGAAGGTGTAATTTCATTAAGATCATATATATCTATATAACTATGCTTGTTGATCTCTATAGATCTACATAGATATACACATATACATACATTCATACATACACACACAAAAGGGTATCTTCTGGAACAGCAGCAGAAAGTGCAGTCTATACTTTTTTGAATTGTCTTCGTAATGGAAAGTTCTCGGTACAGTTTTCAGATATGAATTGTCTTGGGATTTCTGAGATCCAAGGGATTATTTGTGATACTGCATGTGTCCCACATTACTCTCTTTCCTTACAGGCTGCTTCAAGCTCACTTCACTTCCAGAAGAGATGATTGGCAAATTATTTTCCATGTGATACTGAATAAGATGACCCACACTATCAAATACGTGGTCTTTGGTTCTCACCTAATGAAAGAAGCAAAAGAATGTATTTAGGGTTAGATGTGCTTATAACTGGTTGGGCATGAGCCTAGCACATTACAGTCAAAAGGCATTGAAGCCACTGAACCAGGATCATTAGGCTGTAGACAGCAATTCAGACCCATCCTGTGACCTACTGTTAGCTGACATGAAAGCAGAGGACCAAGTTAAAGAGACCGTATGTAGAACTGGGCTGATTCTGCTAAGGGGAATGAAATAACCTTTTTTTTTTTTCCTGCACAGAAGAGAGATATTTTTTCCTAAATCCCACTGAGGATTACTTTTCTGATTTACTCTCTCCTCTGAGACATGTCACTCAAGAGCGCTCTTCTAGCCCTGAGCAGAAGCAAGTAGAATTGAAGTGACAAAAACCGGTTCTACCTTTTCTGTATCCAGAAGTGTGTTACTAATCAAATTCATTATTTAATGTTAGGGTTATTCTTCTAGCAATATAACAACTCCTCAAAGGATGTATTAAGTGTATACCCTAATTATCAGCACCTGGACTAACAGCAGTATTTAAGTACCTCACTTCTATTTCCATGGTACTTTGATGCTTATAATTTCTTGAATTGAACTTTCAAACCTACTGAAGTCACTGACTAAATTTAAATTAACCTGGATGGAATCAGATCAGTTCCACTTCCTGGAATGCACCCATGCATTTTGACTGAAATATCTCAACAGCCCTGAAATTTCAGTATATGAAACATTCATACCTTGCCCTCGGGATCCACCAAGAGCAGATGCTTTGCTTGCCCTCCCTGAAGTCCACTGAGGACATACTGACCAGGTGACGTTGTGCTCTCTCGCACCAGAAAATCCCCATCGTTGACTAGGAGGCTCTCTGCTGCTTTCCTGTTTAATTTGCCATGGTAACAATCTTCATTCTTTAGCTGCTGCTTTATTTGTGGCAGAACACAGAGACCAGCTGTGTTGCTTGTGGCACTCTGCTGAACAGCTTCCGGTAATTCTAAAATTAAATGAAATTGAATGTATTGGACACTTCACCTAGAACTTCATCCTAAAAGGATGTGAGACAATATGTTTTATAGCTTTTAAAAAATTCAGATGGTTCAGTCCTGAAGCTGTGATCAAACCAACCTTACAGACTGTAATAATATGCACACATGAATGCACACAGTCCTCCAGTGCATTAGGTAAAATTATCACACTATCTCCTCTCATACCTTAGATGGGAAAGCCTTGGGTCGCTAGGCAACAGGAACTGGAAACAGGAATTTTTCTGATGCTCTACTGTTTTGAGTTTTTATTTCTTTGGTTGTATTAAAAAGTCAAATCTTCCCTGTTAAAACAAGATTTTCATTGTTTTTTAGCCATTTTTTTCTTTTTTTAAAAATTTTTTTCCCTTCTTCCTTAACAAGCTCTGAAGAGATTGTCATGGATCACTGGGAGAGTCATGTTGAGTGGCTTCAGCTATGTGCAGGAATGTAAGACAACATGGCCAACATAGCCAGAAGGGAAGGATTACAGCATGATGCATCTGATGTGAAAAAAACGAACAATTACTGAATGTACTAACAAAACTGGGTGGTTTGGGATATAGCCAGTCAGACTGCAAATGATTCACAGGCAGGATTTTTCTAAGGAAAATAAGAGGATACCACTTCTTCAATGGAATTGTGCAACCTAAGGGTCCTCAGGATATAGCCTGAGCATAATACAGCCCTGGGTTGGAAATGTCTCAATGGTCACAGATTTCCTTTACTGTAGTTCTGCCCACTTTCTTGTGTGGAGCCAGCTCTGACAGAAAAAACACTCAGTGGGAAACTGTAAAAGGCAAAGCTAATAAATAAAGTATTTTCAATAATGAGGACAATCAGTAGCAACTATATAGTCATTTAATGGATATCCACCACTTGGAGTCTGTAAATCAAGACTTAATTCGACATACATTTAATAGATACTACTGATCAAACACTTTGATTTAGAAATTATTGGATGAGATTCAATGGTCACTTATGCAAGATTTGAGAAAAGGTGGTCATAACGATCCCACTTTGACATTGTGTGCTACTGTCTGTGAAGCTGAGGCACCTGAGGCCACTTCCACCCTACAGTGGTTAAGATCTTGAGCATGCAGGAGAACTCTCTTCCTTGAGGTATGGTGCAGTCCCAAGCTTTCACATCATCTTAAAGACTTGCTTGTTATTACCTGTGGACCACTATTGTCATTAATCAACTACAGAAGATGAAAGGTTGCTCTGCTTGCTTACCATCAACTACTTTTACTCTTTAATCTCCTTTATCTTGAATTTAACAAGCAAAAAACCAAACAAACAAAACCAAAACAACAGGAAGGATCTCTTCCCCCCATCTTTTCTATATTTCTTATGAGGAAACCAAAATCTTTCTCCATGCACACAGATGACAAGACCCGTCCTTTCAAAGCTTAGAAAGATATGGTATTGCAATGGGAACCTACTGGCCTGACGCAGTGGGCTCCCATGGATCTGTGTTGTTGCTGTACCACGGGCTGTACAGACAGCGGAATGCAGGGTCTGTGTGTTGATGTAACACGGATCATCAAAAAGATCTGTTTTGTAGGCAGGCTTCAATAACGTTGCCTCTTTTTTTGTCTTCTGTGATCTTTCACCACAATTACCTGCAATTAGTATATAGTATGCACAGACTTCCTTCTTTTTTTTTTTTTAACTCAAGTTAAAATAACTGCAAAAGTTTAAATAGGAACATTGTTGTTCTTATATATCCCACTAAAGTCATTCAGAAGAAAAAAAATTGGAAGATGAAGTCATTTTTCCTTATGGCTAGAAGGCATAAGGTACACTATGCAAAATGGGTTAGAATGAAGTTTTCAAAAATGTTCTGCCCTGATTCACTTCTGCTTCAATCAATGTCAGCAGTAAACCCCCCACTGACTGAAGAGAAATTAATACATATGACTACAGAAACACAAGTCATATACGTTATTTGTTGCAAAACCCTTTCCTTCCCCGCTGCACCACAAAACAACCCCAACATGTAGGAAGCTGAACAATTCTCTTGCTATTCTGGTGGAGCAGGGAAGATGGAGGAGGTTGGTGCTTTGTGGCTCTGCCTGGATAGCCAAAGCCACATCTATCAGGTTAGGATCCAAGTCTAGGAACAGGCTAACAGAATACCCCCTGCAGGGTACAAAAATAATAGCACTTCAGCTAGCCAAATAGCACACATATTTTTGCTCTTTAGCAAATGTTTTATTCATAGATCTATTCATTCATTCTTTTATTTGTTCACCCTCTCTTTGTAGAAACCATTTGATTCTTCTTTCCTTAAATCAGAAATAACATAAGAAACTGAGCTATCCCCTGCAGACAATGTAACGGATCGCTTTAGAGCGATGCAGGTGGGAATTCAAAAAGGACCTCATTGTGCAGTGAAAGAGATGAACTGAGAAAATATGCTCCAGGCATCAGCTGTGGCAAGGGAAGTCCAGAAAGGGATGGAGGCTGGTGGTCTCTGGGGTCCCAGAGAGCAGGTTTTGCTAAAGGCAAATTGATCTCGGCACAGAGCTGCCCAAGGCAGGGGAAGGGCACTGCCACACTGAGAAGCCAGTGACGCTGGCACCGAGGGCACAGGCTCTGTCGGAACAACCACCCTGCGCTGATAATTTGGGTCTCGTCGAGCATTTGCAGGGGGAAGGGGTATTTTCAGAGACTGATAAGCAATGAATTATCTTCCTTTTTCAAAGGGTATGAAAGGGAATAAAACAACAAAGAATATGAAAGAGAATTAAAAAACAAAGAGCTACTGTACAGTATCATGACAAGTAAAACGAGTAAGTCTGCCAGCAGATGCAAAGATAGATTAGTGGCCTTTAGAAAAGCTGTAAGGCTTTTTTGTCTGCCCTTCATCTAGGGAACTAGAAATGACCCACTAAGTAGAATGCTTTTCACTATTGTATCGAAAGCCAAGGGGCAGCTCTTCCAGGCAGTCTGCCTTGGTTAATTCTGCGTATGCATGAGAAGGAAAACAGAGTACATACCCACAGTTTTGTTTTCTTCTGGGCAATTTTCATATATATTGATGAATGTTGGGCTGCCCGTCTGTAGAAAAAGTGTAAAAACAGTCATGTAAAGTAGTCCCTTAGAAATCTCAGGTAACTTTAAAATATCCATGCACTATTTAATTGGGATACAGCTGACTAAACGTATCTTCCTCACCAAAAATTCCCACCTCCTCAAATAATATTTCATGCTGATACTAATCTTTCTGCAGGGCATCATGTCTGGACATACGCCAGCCTCACAAAGACTGTTAACTGCCCAGTTACGTTTCTAAGGTTTAGTGTATACAGTATAACTCCTAGGTAATAAAGTTCAGATTTTCTTATAAATGTTCCTTGCAATAAAAGCAAGGAGAAATAACTAGACATCATGGTTTGAAAGTGAAATAGTCACCAAGTTGTATGAGCAGCACTAAGAGGTCACCAGAACTGAAAGGAAAAACGGAAAGTAACACCCCATGGAAAAAAAAAGGCATTTGTATTTACATGCTGCAGGGTAACTCCTTGCAACAACTCTGGTGAGCTTCGAATGCAAACTCAGGAGGTAGTCAAACACCTTTTTAGAGAACTGTTGGGGAGGCGCAGACCACCAGGCCCACAGCCGACATGTGGAGTATGGTTGAAGTTAACAAAGCAAAAAAAAAAAAGAATGGAGCAGTAGCACAGGAGCCTGGGAGCAGTCGCCACCAGACACAAGTAACGCTCGGGAGCAGCAACTTTTCAGACAGTACCAACTGGATTCCAGCAGGCACATCTGAGTGCGCTCCCTCCGAGCAAAGCGGTGGTGCCTGCTTCCCTGAGAGGGGAAGCACCGGTGTTTCCAAGAACTCAGGCAGCAGGCTTTGAAGTCTGTGCAGCCAGTCTGAACTCAGCTGTTTTTACTCCCTGATTGGTTTTTATTCCCCACTATCCCTGGCTGATTTAACAGAGCCTCTTGAAACACTCCGAGGACAATTAATGTTGTATATACACTGCAACCAGTTAATATATGTATAGGTTGTAGAGCATAATGGACAGGATGAAATATTTATCAGATCACAGAATCAGGAGCCAGGAGGTCCCAGATTTTGCAGATGTTCTCTCAGACAAGCCATTTAAATCTGTATCTATTTTCTTCTCACAGCTAACGAGTGAACAAGGGAATATTACTTGGTCTCCTAAAAGTCCTCTAAGGACAAAGCAGTTAATATTCAGAAAGTGCTTTGGGATTCAATTATGTACTAAGCATCATTAAATCTAGCCTAAAAAACCCTTTCCCAGGATAATCAGGACCTGGTTCTGATGTTAATGCCATCTTTTACACCACAGCAAAACCACAGTGTGTTCATTCCCATAATAGGCAGCAAATACTTATCCCAGAAGATGATGTACTTACCAAGCAATACTGCTTTTTACACTGTGTAAGACAGTTAGCCCTTTGGTCTGTTTGCACTTTCATTCGCATGTCTAACACTCCACCGGTGGGAGGTTCTTTTCCTGGAATTTCATTGTAATATTCATGATCCTCCCTCTCCTGTGAATTTCCAGCTGATCCATTAGCATTTGATGCCTCGCTGAAAAAATATGGGGGGGGAAGAAGCAACTGAGGTAATCAACTGCTTTCCAGTGTAGGCAAATATCCCCAGTGTTTGCACATCGCACAATACACAGATTAGCCATATGGAGGCTGTAAAGGGCTTTGGGCCTGAACTTTCAGAGCTCTTTATTCTTCCAGTTCCTTCTTCCCGAATTAAAAATGGAGTCATCACAGTTTGGGGTGCAGGGAGGTACAGTCCTTTTCTTAGCACTGGGCAGCCCAGATCCCTTTTCTTTGACTTGAAAACATAAGAGCAGCCTACTGAAACTTTAAGACAAGGATGCCAATGCATCATCATTCATTAAGGTGTCCAAATGTAGACCATAAAACTAATTCCTCCAGCTTCTTGTCTCAACCATATAAATTGCTGGGGCAATGGGGACTCGCAAGACAAAATTAAAACCTCATAGCATTCAGTTAGACAAGCCTGCAACTGTTTTAGAAAATCAAATATTGTTTTAAAAAAAATTGCAACTTTCCCGAGTGCCATGTACCCTGATTTTAATAACCATAATCAATATAACTGTTCTGTTTCAGCTTGAAGAAAACACTGAGTGACACGAAGGAGAGCACCCAATGTTTTTCTTGAGCTAAACCAGAATAATGATAGTTTAAATGTACAGCTGATACGCTGCAAAACAACTAGGTGCTTCCTGTACTGTCTCCGGTCCCAAAATAAAAAGCTCATCTCAAATCTTACTTCCCTGTTTAACAAGAATATAATTGGATAAAAGGCCTCGAGCAGGAAAGAGATAAAGTTCAAGTAGTTGATTATGTGATATGCAGTGCAAGTATTTGATTATGTGATTCATAGCAGTTTGGAAGCGAGTGACTCATTCACACAGCAATATCCGACTTCTCTGCCCGAGGACCGTTCTCCGAGGCTGGCTGCGGGTTAGGCTCAAGGAGGGAATCTAATTAGCCTCTCCCATTTCTCCTCACTCTGATTTACTTGTGACATAACCTAGCAGAGTTTCACAGGAAAGGCTCTTCCGCTGGTTATTGTCCCCAGGGAACACAGACCAGTATTAGCAGTGGAATGGCAAGAACCACTATACACAATGAAATAAATATAAACTGGAGCTGGGGCTGCTGTTATGTAATAAAACCAGTTCTGTTGCTTGCATCAGGCACTATACCAGTGACACCGCCTGCACAGCGACTCCCGGTGCGCAGGATGCAGTTAAGCAGTGTTACAGCTTTACCTACCGATGGAGGTAGCAAGTGATCAAATCTGGCATAACAGTAAAGAAAAGACTAAGAAAAACAAGCATGGTTAACCTATGAGGACAGCCATAAATTAGAGCAAGAATTGTGTCGCTAGTGCAATGGAAAAAGGGTAATTGAAATAGGGAATTGCGGTCCAGAAATTAATCTAGGCTCTATATTTTGAACAATGTGCAGAGGACAGGGCTTCACACTTAAAAATGCCAAGCAGTGGCTGTGTTTATTTCAATATATGAGGCTGATGTAAGTCACACTAGGTGGAATCTGAGGCCACTGCCAGGACATGAGCAGAACAGCAGAAAGGTGAATTACAATGGCTTTTTTTCCTCCATCACACACTTTCCACAGCTGCAGCAAGCTTAAACTTGGCATGGGTCAGGACTGAGCTCAGAGTGTGTGCGCTGAACTTACTCGGACAGAGTAATTTGGACATTTGTTCCGCTTACTCGCATGATAAGACTGTTTTAGCTAAGGAACGATGTTGCTAAATTCTGTGTGACGTACCTGTACAAACGTAACAGAAATCAATGGAGTTTGCTGGAATAAGGTAATTTTAGTCTATTATATTCTGTGCATACAGCACATATTACAGTTACCTATGTCCAGAAAGCATATCCAAAGCATCTTATTTATGTACATTGTTTTCCTGAAAAGTACTAAAGAGAAGGAAACCACCAGCTAAGTGACTGAGAATGCGCTGACCTTTCATTAGACGTAACCAGGCTGGATGGGTTCTTCAGGTACTGTTTGAACCGGAGCTCAAAAGCCTGCCCTATGGTGTTTATCACCTCCTGCGCCATCCCATTGGGACATTCCAGTATGTGGCATGCTGCAAAGAGACACCTTACTTTAATTAAGTAAATGCACTACATACCAGAAGAGACAGACACGAGCTATATTGCTTACAACAGAAAAGCTGGGCATGAAATGATGCATCTAGTTAGCTTTAGGACATGATACAGACTGAGATTTTTGATGTGTTAAGGAAATTGCTCTAGGTAGTTTTTAATCATAGTATCAACTTATAACTCAATCAAAAAACCTCTCCATTTATGCTTCCAGCATGGAGTGCTCCTGCTTCTCCTTTCGTCTCCCTGCCTGGCAGTCAGCAGAAGCAGGGGAGAGAACCAGCCCTGCCAGCGTGCAGTTCTTACGTGGAACAGCATGAACACACCAGTATGGGTGGCTCTGGCAGCCTGGGGCAGGGCTCCCTCGGGGCAAGACCATGCTCCTGGCACCAGTCCTTGTTCTCACGCACAACCTCGGGAAACTCACTCCAGTAGTGAGTGCCCTGTGCCCAGGACTGGCTCTTCCCTCTGCAGAGCCACCATGAGATAGCACTCGGGGATGGTGCTGGGCCAGCTGCCAGCCCTGCCTGCAGGCTGCCAGCGTACAGGAGTTCTGCACGTCCCAGCATCAATACCGGGATTTACTGGTGAACTCGCAGGGTACCCTAAGTTACTCAAAATAGTAACTTATGGATGGAGCTACATAGAGGTGGCAGGCCAGACTGCAAGGCTCCAGCCCATCTTCTCCAGGAAACATCCTGATCTTCTGAGCCATCCACGGCACCTTAGAGCGAGCTCTCCTGTGAGCTGCCACTACCAACTTCGTAGCCATCGGCAGTGCTGCTCTCAGAACTGTCTGGCATGAAAGAAACAGCCAAAGGCCAGTCTTTCTTGTACTGCAGGCAAATAATGAAAACGACGGAAAGGGATTTTATCCTCTGGGTTAGCCTGCAGAAGGAAGAAGGTCTCATACACCTGAGTATATATCCCACTCTGCCTTCCAGCAGCACACCCAGGAGTCTGGGTTAGATGAGGAGGCTCATTCACTACCCTTCCCTCATCTGGAAGCTGTCCCAGAGCAGGAACCTTACCAGGCTCTGCCCTTCCTCCCCTGGCAAGGCTGGCTTGGGAAGGCTCCTACCCCTGCCTGGAGCCAGCAGCTAGTACAGCTTTAGTCTAACCTGCAGATTCTCACCTCGTTGCACAAAGAATACGACGTTTAAAGCCACAGCCTGCATACCATCACCCAAATCCATACAGGGAAGGTGGGAATTGTACAAAATATTGAGCTGTTCAGTAGCTTTCTTGTTTTAAAACTCAAACATTCCTTTGTACAGATAAAGCAACCATATAAACATGTATAACAATCTGAAAATTGTTTCCATACCTCTCTGATTAACAGGATCTTTTGCTACATACGCAACATAGTCTGTTGTATCCTATAGGAAAGAAGACAGACAACAAATATCTTTAAAATTATCATTATGAACAACCCTACCACCATAGCAAAGCAAATAGAGATACATATTTTTAGCTTTAAAAAGCATGCTTCTTTCAGGGAAAACAACTGGAGGTACTAGCAAAGTGGGCTAAGGGAAGGATCAGTGACACTGATGGCTATCGCCACAGTAATTGTCCTGAAATCTTTTTCTTGTAATAAATGCACTAGATCATTTGGCATTCTTGGGGATTTCCATAAACTGTGTTTTCAATTCCAAACTCTGCAACAGGACTAGAAACACAACTGGTGCCTCATGAGGAGGAGGCAATGCTGCTCTTTTCCACTGCTCCCACGGAGCTCAAAGCCTCTCCCGTGTAACGCCCTGGGCTGCCCGACTGCCAGTCACAGCTTTTAGCTGGGATGGACCTTATCGATACCAGTGGAAGATAAAACAGTGCTAATATACTGCAAAGGACAAGTTAGAAGATTCGTGATTTGTAGCATGAAGATTGAGTTTTGAAGGCATCTTAGAAAAAAGCTGATCTTTAAAATACTGCATAATACAATACGTATCTGATCTCAGTTGTTGCTGCCTGATTTTAGTCTGGCTACGATCAGGTTAAATTACTCTGGATCTCAAGGCAGCTGCTGAGATCAGACAACCTCAGTATAATCAGATGTCTGTTTCAGATTCTCTTTCCAGCCAACATTGAAATAATTCTCAGGTTTTCTAGTCAAACTGAAAAGGGAACTGGAATAGAAAAATTAACATTTCTAGTCATACTGCAAAAGCAAAGAGTCGCTTGGTAATTCAGTGTTATAGTAAAAATGGTGAGGTAATGAATAACATTCTTTTAATTATTAAAGATGCATTTTGTTATTTTGGATCTTTAAGGCGGGATGGGGAAAATGCAATTCACAGCTTAAAGGCATGGCTCTCTTGAGGGAAGATGCAATCAGCTGGCAGGAAACAAGGCCCCCATTTGCAATATGCACAAAAACAATCATTTAATAATTCACAATGAAGGACACAAGAGGCAGGTCTTAGGGCCAGCAGAACTTGTCCTAGATAATTTTTTTTTAAATCTCCAAAGTTAATGTCATTAAAACAAAGCAAGCTAAATATTTCTTATGCATTTAGTGAACTCAATTTCCTTCCTCTTCCTTTCAGGTTTTTCTTAAAGTTCATAAATATTTCAGGATACACTTAAATTAGATCTAGAGAGCAAGTAGAAACTAAAGTTACTGGAGCAGTACCTGCTATTTTTATATCTTTGTAATGTTTATGTACATGCACGGATGACTTTGCTTTAAGATAAAGCCAGAATAGGCTTTATTCTCGGGTAGAGTATTGCTGCTCCTTAACAGTGCAGAGCAATGCTGAACTGTGCTTAGACCCTGAACGTAGGGGCAGGTGGAGAGGTATGTCCTGTGGAAACTGTCTCCCATTTTAAATGTAAAGGGAATTGTGGAAAAAATTACCTGAGTAAGCCGCACAAAATCGCCCCTTATATGAAGGGTCACTAGGTTTATAGTTACCACTGCTGAGCAAGACCTCCATTTTACATATCGCCCCAGCAAGAGAAGCATCACCAGCTGCACCACCAAGCCCATTTCCTGCAGCACATCTGTGCGCAAGCACATCTCTTGGTGGTCCTGCCCACTGACCAGACCCAGCCCTGTGTGGCCGGTGAGATCTGATGGGAATCACTGTACAAAAGCATTGCAGGATAATAATATATACTAAAAAAAACCAAAACCCAAACCAAACTAAAAAAATAAACTAAGCCCTGGAGAATTACTCATCCAACCTGCTGAGCAGAGGTCTGAAAACGCATCCCTGAATTTTCCAAACTGGAAATGTTACATAAAGACAAACTAGACAGCCAGCATCTACGATATGGTACATACTTCAAAACCAAGTCAGTGTAAGGACATATTTAAATTGTTTAACTATCAAGAAAACTGGAATTTGGAAATGAAGCATGGTGATGTTCAGCACAAGAGCGCACCAGCACTTGGAGCTACCCGGAAACCCACATCAGGAAAGCTCAGCAAAGCCCAAGGACTGTATTGTACAGTGTGGTGTATTAGGATAGCACAGGCATCTAAAGGTGAAATTCAAACTTCTCAGACTCTCAGCAATGCCTTAAGCTTTAGATGGGATCATAAGGATGTAGTAGTTTGGCACCAGGCCTGTGCAGTACCTGCCTTCTGGGTGCAGGACTGACAGCACAGAGCCTGCACACGTGCTCCCTCCCCGCCTCCCAGCTCAAGTCCAGAAAGCCCCAGTTCTCAGGCAGCTTGAGCAGCAGCACTCTGAGCAAAGCAGCTGGGCTCCTTACATCACCCATGTGGCCCTCCAGAGAAAAAAAAAATACTGTTTTTTGTAACACACGGAGTGTTAAATTCAGAACACTGGCAGGGCTGGGCTTGCTTAGATTCGAAGAGGGAATAGGGCATGTTTATGGATGACAAATTCCCTGCTTACAATCACTCAGTAAAGAGTTTGGAAGAAGACAGGAAACCTCTTGCTTGAAAACATCAATGACTTCATGACTATGATACTAGGAGAAAAACCCATATCTGCAGGAAGAAGGTTATGCCACATCTGTTCTCATAGTGGTTTGACTCAATTCACCTAAACATTTAGAGGTGCCAGTGTTAATGGCTTTTGTGACAGGTATTAGATTACAGGGACCACAGAACTGATTCAGTTCCTACATTTGTGTGTTCTTATTTTTAGATCCCCAAGTCTAAGGGTTTTTGAATGAACTGAGGCTCACTGATGAGCAACAGGAAAGTTAACTATACATATCTATCAAAGATCTACTGCGTCTCGATTCCATGTCTCCTTTCCAATCTCAGTCCCTCAGTCGTCTTGTATTACTGGTCATGATTCACAAGTGCAGTGTAGTCTGTTAGTGCTTGTGGATAGGAAGGGATGAAGTGAAGTATTTGCAGGTACTTTTATTCTCATAATAATTTCATTATACCTGCAGAAGTATATCTTATAAATCAATACTTACTGGGTCACCTCCAGAAGCAAATGAGATGGACTGCATGTGATGATTGGCAATAATCTGAAAAGCATGACAAACTAGTTAAACGTGCTCATGTGCCACACATTTAGAAAACAAAGCATATATCTTCATAGACCAAGCAATTAAGTTCATGACAACCCAATCCATTAATACATGCACATATCATTTGTGAAGGAAGGAGACAAAACCAGGAATATTTCTGAGACTACCCATTCATGTTTAGCAATGTCTAGATCCCTGAGTAATCTTCCTTAAAGGGTTTTCAGAATGAATTCAAGCACCAACTTCTGACCTGGTAAGTATGAAGCTAAATGAAACTTTGAAAGGGTAATAACCTGAGACACTGGATGCATTTACAAAGTCGTGAGATATTTATTCATTTTAAAAATCACCAACAATTTTATTTAAATGCCTGGTGTATATAATGGTGGTGTTTTTACAAACAGGCCTCACTGATACTCTGATCATATTCTCTCTCGACACTAGCACCAAACTGTTAACTAGTAGAAATTGCACTAGCCAGATCGAGCATCAACTTTTCTTGGTTCCAAACACTACCTCATCTCTGAGGACAAACTGTTCTTTATTATAAAATCAAGTGCACTAGATTACGCAGTTATGAACACAATGAAACATGGTGGTGGTGCAAGAATAGAATAAATAGGATTTTCCATTTGCAAAGATCTAGTAATGAAAGACCTAGAAAGAATTTCAAGACAGTGCCCTGCACGCCCGTGTGCGCAGTGCCTGGGCACATCAGTGCATTTGGAAGGAGATCCGTCCAGACAGCTTTTAGTCCTCTTACAAACAGGAACAGGTTGAAAGGGCCATACTTGAGCTGCCAACCCCCAGTTTCACCTGCTGTAGGGAAGGCCTTTGCTCCTGTACCTGAAAGGAAGGGAAACCTGGTGCAGTAAACCCTTACCCCTCCTAGCACAGAGGTCCAAGGGACAGGAGACCTCTGTGCTGCAGGCAAACCCCCCAAAACTGCTTGATGCTCACAGCACAGCAGCAGCTTAGTGCAGTGATTCCTCAGAGCCAGTGAGCCAAAACCACCTCCCTGATGTTCCCCTGCTCCAGCTTGGAGCTGCTAGACCCAGGCGAGATCATGCTGGGAGCTGAAGCCAACAGCTGACAGAGGAATTAGGTAGGCAGGACAAAGCTCCTCATCGCATCTGCCAGGAAGGGAGCACACCCCAGTTCCAGGCTCTCGAGAACACATCTCGATGGAACCCAGAGACTTTGCATAGTATAACTGATTATGCACACATATTACCCAGCTGTAAAATAGCTTTAAATGACACCAAAGCCAAGATCTGACTCATTATTTATATCATTTTTTTTTTCCCTGGAACTTGTCAGAAACTCCAGTCGGGACTAGTGCCTTGTTTATTACGCACTGTACAGGCAAAGACACGCACAGAGAAACAGTCTGCCAAGTGCTTAAGGATCCCTCCACGCGGAGGACATCATCATAAACAAAGAGGTTATGTGCTGCATGTCCAATTCCTCTAAAGTGCTCTCATTTTTAAATTCAGAGGCATCATATAATTCAGCTTTACCAGGCATGCACAAGAAGATTAAAGGGTGCTGCTTTCTCTTCGAAGCACCCAGCCTTTCCTTCAGAAGCCAGGAAAGGAGGAGAATACAGTAGCATGGAGAAAAGGACACTGATTTATATGTATCCTACCTGCTGCGTGTCAACATTAATCAAAGTGAGGCAGCTTGTTGAAATGGTCAGCTTTATATTCAGGCCAGAAAACTGAAGGTTACTTTTGCCAAGTACTGAAGACAGAAACTTCACTGGAGGCTTTGAACAAAGAAACAAAAGAAAGAGGCTGTCAGCTGAGTCTGTCAGGGGCAGAAATATATCAAAGTCAAGTAGATTTTACAATATCTTGTTGAGAATTTCAATGGAGCAAGGATAATGGCTTGATCAAATGCACATAGATTTTTCTAACAAATACCACCTTTGAATACAATACTTGTAGGCATGGTTTTTATGTCAATAATGGAAAAAAAAAGTTTTAAACCAAAATCCCAGTGAGCTAAACATTATAGCTGGCTCAGTAATTCAGAGTGTGTAATCTCCTTGCTGAACTCTGCTTCATTTCCTAGGCATGAAGCATTTCTGAGTGAACCAAGAAATTCTCTCATGTATTCATCTTTCAGGAGCATGTTCATTCCTCCCGAGCCCCACAGTTGCAGAAGGAAATCAGTAATTTCCACTGGACACGACCCAATAGCACCCACTGACATTGCCCCTCACTGCGTCCCAGTTATTAAACAAACAATCAACCCATTAAACACTGCCATTTTAGTTCTTTAATTTTTTTTTTATATAAGTGACAATCAGCTAATCCTCCAGTGAACAAGCTCCCTTTTGCTATCATAAAGGCCTCCTACATTTTACCAGCCAGAATCTAAAACATGTAAAGCACTGAGCACTGCAAAGGCTGGTAGGAGTAGGAACTCTGGGCAAAGCTTTAATCCTGAAGAAAATAAGGTATGGCACAGCCTCAGCCCCAAACCAAGCAGGCTAAACACCCTGCTACAAGTGCTCTTTCATGTTACACCAAGTTCAGATGGATTAATGTGCACTAACACCAGCATGGACTGAAGCCTGTTAGGGAATCGCACATCCAGCTTATCAAAAGCAGATATAGAAAATTAATTGTTCAGCTAAAACAGTATTTACCTTCCGCTTTTTTATAGCTCCATTTGTACCTGATACAGCTTCACACAGCCGACTTATTGCTTCCCTGCAAATAAAAAAATAGAGCACAAACTGCTGGATCATTTCAGACGCATCATCTATAACAGGCCCAGCAAACCTGTGATTTATCGTTATCGTCCCACTTATAAACACTTAAATCTTCTGGAAGGTCTTTCACAGTTGTTTTTCTTTCTTCTTTCCTCCCACTGTTAAAAAAAACAAACCTATTTAACAAAATACAATGATTCAGCAGCCTGGTTTGCATTGATTCTTTTTCTTCATAAAACACATCAGTTTCACCTAATGAAAATTTGTTTAAAAAAAAAACAACCAACAAACATCAACTAACCACAAAAAAACTCAAACACCTTAATCTCTTCAAATCCTTTTTCTCAGTATGGTTGATAGGTTTCTTGCTTGGCAGGTAGGAAGCCCTCCCTGCCTTAATTCTTCTTATTTAGAGCAGCAGGGGCGTGCTGAGTGAGCCCAGCTGGATGCCCTGATTGCCCTTCTGGTGTTGGGAGTTTCTTTTTCTTTAAAAAAAAAAAAAAAGGGGGGGGGAGAGGAAAAAAAAAGGAAAAAAAAAAGGAGATGTAATCAGCTTCTCTATTCTTTTTCAAATCTGAGGTCTCAATCCATATCTTTCCATCTCTGGCAGCTGCATCCCAAACTTGACATCCTTTCCCAGCCACCCACTATTCTCTACAGGCACCTCTCAGTTTGGGAAGCAGAAGGGTAAGGCATAAAGCACTCATGGTGTTTATCAGTCTCTATCAAAGACAGCTAAATTACACACTTAATTTAACATAGTGGTGCACTGCGCCTATTTTCCACACTTGAACAAAGAAAACTCTGATATATGCTCAGGCAGGTGCTGGTGTGGACATACAGTGGAGCACTCGACTGCCCTGATGGAGGTTAGCACAGCAGCTGGAAAATCCCCCTTTTGCTGGCAGTCACAGGCTTTCCCTGACTGATACTTACTGGTTTGAAGTGAATGGAAAAATGGTGATTCACTGGGCTGGGATGTGCTTAGCAAGTTTCCTTAACCTTACCTGAACGTCCCGGTCTGAGCTGCAGCCCCCGGCCTCTCCCTGGCCCTCTGCCGCGGGGCTGCCGGGGCGAGCTGTGCCACCGTCCCCCAGTCACCCTCGCAGGCTGCTGTTCCCAGGGCTGCCGGGGCGAGCTGTGGCACCCTCCCCCGGTAACCCTCGCAGGCTGCTGTTCCCATGGGCTGCTGTTCCCATGTTGGGTGATTTCGTTTTGAGGCTGTAGCCTCAGCCTTTCTCTCACAGCTGAATTCAGGCTTGGGCTTTCAAGGGTTGGGATTTTGTTTTGTTCTTAAGGGGAAGAGAATTAGTTTGTTTAATTGTTTGTTTATGTTATTGGATTACTAACCAAAGAGCTAATTAGGAAACAAGCTAGTTAGGAAAGTTTGTCTGTTTTCAGATCCTGGTGCATGTGTGGGAGGAACATGCCACTGGGCTCACTTCCTGAGAAAGTTGTGGTTCAGAAAGGCTAAAAAACACCATGAGACCACACAACGGTGAGAGGCTCCAGCTAGGCATGTCCCACGAAGCAAAGGTGTCCTGATGAGGAGCATGGTCCCCTCAGGACCCTGCATCGTGCCCAGGGAGCAGACCAGACCGCATGTAAAGCCAGCACAGTGCCAGTGAACCACAGCGTTGCTGCTGCCCCCTGCTCAGTGCCCCACGGACATCGGGACGCTGATGAGCTATGTGCTTAAAGCACTGAAGATCGGTGATTTAACATCGAGTCTTCCTATCAGAGAACATCCTGAGAAATTCAACCTGGAGACTGTCAAATGAATGGAGACCTCGCCCATTGCAAAACAATAAAATGTAATTAATATGTTCTGAGTGAAAACACCAGGGAAAAGGAAGAGCATCATCGTGGGCTACAAAAGATGGGTCAGAAACACAGCCTCTTAAACGCTGCCTTTTTTAAGCTTTTTAAAGCAAAGCACTTCCCCCTGCACAGCTGAAAATATGCTTTTGAAGTGAATTCCTGATATCCTTCTTGTTTAGCTCCTGTTTTATTTAGGTGTCACCAGTAGAAAGGCCAAAACAAAAACAAACAAAAAACCCCCCAAACAAACAAAAAAAATGGGAAAGGCATCCTGCAGGATGATCTTGCAGATTCCAATAATCAGCCTGGAAAATGAGAACTCATCTTCTCATTCAATATTAAAGGAAATTAAAATCAGGGCCAAGACATTAAGGCTACCTACAGCCTTCAAGTCTAGCTCTACCTAGAAAGAAAACCAGATACAGAACAAATTGGAAAACTAGGGAAGTCATCTATTTTGGTGACAATGAGTTCAGGCAGCCCATGTGGAATAAGGACTTGTAGGCAAAGCTGCCAGCAACGGACCCTGTTCTTGCACAAGCCATCGTGGTCACTGCCCACTTCACCATGCTCTGAAGCATTTGTCCAGCAAACGGGAACCAATAGGCAGGCAAATAATTCCTACTTAATAGTTTCTAGTACGTCTCTTTGATAGGGGAAATCATCTTCTCACAGACATGTCTTGCTGCATGTATCTGGGTGGTTTTCCAGATGATCTAACAAAACACCTTATTTTAAAGATGTGAAAAGCAGCAGTTTGGTAACACCTTGCTGCTACAACCGAACACTTCTAACATTCAGTCATCTCCATGAAGCAGATGGACCTGAACTAGAAACCACACCATATACTGGGAAGAAAAGAAACTCTGGATACGCCCACGATAAACTTAAATAGGATTTACTGTATCTGTGCTTTCTTCCTGGAAAATTGCTATCAATTCATTCTTACAGCGATTCATTTTCCATCACTTGGTTGAGCAAGTCTCTGCTTTTAGATCTGCAGGACAGCATATACCTGTGCATAGTTCGTGTAGTTAATTGTTCCTGGATGAATGTGCAGCCTTATGGATTCTGGCATTTGCTTGTCCATTTGATATCTTCCAAATCTGAGGCAGTAGCAGAAAACGTGGCCTTGTTATTCCAGTCATGTTTCTGCTTTTTCTTTCTCTCCTCCTTGTCATTCATCCCAAAGCAAAACACTTTAGGTTGTTTTCTTTTTAGTCTTTTAAATCACCCTGAATGAGATAACTCCACTTGCACACTCTGCAGCAGCTCTTCTCAACCCTGGCAGCCACCGAATGAAATCGAGAGAGCTGTGAGGAATTTAAATTGTTCTTGTAGTTTAAGGCAAAGAAAATTTTGCTTCTCGACTCCTCAGGCATCTTCTGCCATTTGAAGTGGAATCACTGCCTGTTGGTCCTGCAGTGCCCACACGATTACATAAACTGATCATTGTTTCGTTGACACAGTTTTCACTTTCCGTGGTGAATGGAGGAGATTTGGCTTAGCTCTTTTTGCCATCCTGAAGAAATATTACTCTGAAGCGCTTTGGTACCCTGGGCTGTCTCCAGCAGCAGAGCTACCGCAGAGGTCCCGCTCCTGGCCCCAGCAGATGCCCATCCATTGCAGGGGGAGTTTCCCAGGGGTTATTCTGCTGGGCACCAGCTCAGTGAGGATCAAGGCTGTCACAGTTCCCTGGGGGCACCTCTGTGGGATCCAGAAGGTGGGATGGGGATGCAGGACCATTCCTCTTCACCTGGGACACCGAGGCTCCTGAGCTCACTGCTGTAGGGAGGTTTCTGGGCTGGGATGCACTGAAACAGGACAGTGCTACAGCTCCCACATCGCTGAGTGCTGTGGGTGCCAGCGGCACAGGGAATTTTTGGTTGCTCCCCAAAAAGCCTGGTGCAGCCCCCCAGGGCACCCGGCCGGGCTGTGGCCATTGGCAAGGGCTCAGCAAGCTCTGGGGCAGGAGGGAGTGACAAGGACAGCCCCATTTGTGGCATCCATAAGCCTTTAGATCAGCTGAGCTGTACAGTCTACAGGTTTTCTCTGGTTCTGCACCTCTGGAGTGAAACCCATGGCAGACACTCCTCCCTGCTCCTCCAACAGCGTGCAGGAGAGCGCCGCGCTGGCAGTAACAGTGAGCCACTTTGTTTATTGTTCCCCCAAATGAGAGTAAGAGAAGAGAGATGGGCTGATGTAAGCGAGTAAGCATGCTGTTGAAGATTTTCTCTTAAGCATCTAGGGCTCTGCCTACACTGTCTAACAGAAAGCGATTGTGCATTTCAACAAAGTTGAAATTAATCTTCCAAACAAAGTAAGCCTTCTTCCACCAGCCCTCCCCAGCAGCACGTTTCAGATGCCCTTTGCTGCCTGACCATTTTCAAGTTTGCAAATTAATGCCCCGATCTGAGATACAGAATCCCTTTTCCCATAAATGCCCAAATATAATGACTAATAATAAGCTTGATTTAGCAGAAGTGGGAGACATGTAAGAGGAAAAGAGCTGAAGGGCTGGGCAAGGGAAGCGCACGTCAGGGTCCAGCAAAGGCAGGACCTGCCAGCCTGAACACGTCTTGTAGCGAGACCAGCAAGCACAGCACGTTTATGGGTGACCATTCAAAAAAATACAAAGCCTCTCAAGCAGAGGAACCTGTTACCCTTATTGTTATTTCTTGGTGTTACTCTTCTCACCTGCATGGAATTTGGGATCACAAATTTCTGTAAAATGGGAGGGATGTCCTAAGAGTGTGTGAGTTGGGTCACAGGCAGAGAACTGGAAGAAAAAACTGCTGCAGCAAAATCTCCTCTGCCAACCTCCTCACCGCACAGCCGCTGAGGGAAGGGAGCACCTCAGAGCCCGGCCCTTCCCCTGCTACGCTGCGGCCCTTCGGCCTGGCGGCCAGACGGCACCTCTGCACCCATGGCCATTCGCAGTGCTGGAGAGGCCACTGTCTGCCTTCCCCAACCCCGTGCCTGGTAAGTGACCGAAAATACAAGTCCAGCAAGAAACTAGAAAACAAATCCTCCGTGCTCATCTCTTTTGACTCCTCACAGCACTTTGGCAAACACGAGTTTGTTAATCTTTCCCACATTCATGTAAGGCAGGTAAATAATATCTGATTTTAGAGATCAGGGTACTAAGAATGCAAATACACATAAAGCAAGGCAGGGAGCAGACATGGTTAGAGATCCTTTCTATATCACTTTAAAACAGAAGATGCCTCTTTGTTTAGTAAAATACCATTGGAATAAAAATATTTTTTACCCCCACTACAAATAACAGAGATGATTAAAATGGGATCATTTCCAATATCTCCTTGGTCAGTGCATTGTGCTTGCCATCTATAAACTTACTCCCCCGAGAGAACAATAGGGGAATAATCAATGTTATCTTCGCTCCAGTCAGCTTGTAATCGATCGAACTTTAAAGTTTGAATGCATGAGCTCAGCACTTTAGCATTTGGTTTCCAAACAGTTTAAGTTTTTAATTTCTCATGCACAAAAGAGCCCATTAAGGTCAGCAGTGGCACTTTGTTTAGGTGATGGAAATATTTCCATTGTTAAGTTTTCACATAATTCTGGTTAACAAAACCTTACTATTTGGGCCAAATTAAAGTTGGCAAGCTCTTCTTACACAGTAATTCATATTCATTATTTTCCAGACAAACCATCCAAAGCTCTGTTTTGTAAGGTTAGCAGCATATATACTGCATGTCTTGCAAACAGGAGATGACCTCCCTCTTCGGCCGAGGCTGTTGAAGAATACAGTGGCTTGGTCTGAATGCGCCGGGCTGATTGCTTTGGGCTAAGTGTGCTACATGGCTCTTTTTGATCAGCAAATGACTAGGCTGAGGGAATTACATTTGTATCTCAGGCACTTCTTCACAGACACATGCAGGAACTGGGTGAGTGCATGCTTATGCTGATTGTAAATGTCAACAACCACTGATTTTGAATATAAAACAAATCAGGCAGCTTTCAAGTGCAGTATATAGGCATTTAAGGACTCAAGTTTTCCTTTTAACTGGTAAGTCTGGGAGCCACTAGGTAGAAATGTAATGCTTATCTCTTTGTGTTCCGTTCCTTTCTCCAGGATTTCTTTGATACAAACACTTGAGGAAGCAAAAGAGCATCTGTAAATCATCCGCCAGCAGGAAGGAAGAGTTAGGCAGGCGCAGGAAGCCTCAACCACACTCCTGGCATCCTCAGCATGAACCACGCCAGAAAAATAGCTGAGGGGAGGAGGGAACATGTCTAAGGCTGGGCCAAAATACCCTGCACCCACCCCTCCAAAAAACCTTTGGAGGTACTGGGATGCCGGGTGGCTGAGGGGGCTGCCCGGTGGAGCGCTAGCCCTGGCTGCTGGACCACCAGTGCGTCCCAGCAGCGTGCAGCACTCTGAGCCGGAAGGAAGGTGCTTATTTTGAAAACTCAAAGACTCCTGCACTGACAGACTTACAAGAATAAAGGTAAAAATAAAACTGGGCTTTTCTGTTCCTGACAGGACATTTCAACAACCCCACAGATGCATATGGTAATAATCTACACCTAGCAAGGAGCAGCAATCTGCAACAGAAGTTGCAAGCTTTTCAAAAGCCCACAAAATATCTCACATTTGAACCACATTCAGTTGTATCTGAGAGCAAAATATCCATCTTTTTCTGATTTGCAGCCTGGAAACTTAGGCCTGCAGTACAGCTGGAAATGGCTGTATTTCAACATGTTTTTCTCGTGACTCTGCTTCCAGCGGAGCCTGGCCTTGGTGCAGATGGGGCCAAACGATATCACCCATCTCATAAAAATCCATTAGATGGCCTTGCTAGACAGAGGGACCAATGGTACCCTCTGCGTCAGGTGTGAAGCAGCGTGGCAGAGGCTTGCGAGCATCCAGGCTCGCCACCTTGGCCACCCACCGCAGCACCAGCAGACTGACCCTGCGTCTTGGGTGAGCTGTGCAGGCAGCGCTGAGCTGGCGTGCGTGGCCTGGCCGCTGCCAGCACCCAGCTAGCTGGGGATGTCTGTACCGGGCTGCGACTGCAGGGGGAGGCTCTCCGCATCCAGAACAAGAATTGGGAGAGAAATTAGGTCTGTGGCTGAAACAATTCATTTTCCAATGCAAATAGCCTATTCTAATGACCAAGTAATTCAAATCATCGCTTGGGAAAAACAAAACAAAACATGCACAGTCCTATTCAAAATTATCTCGGAGCTTGGCACGCACCCTTGGCTTTATACAGAAATTAGCGCTCAGGCTTTTCCTTCTTGGGCTGAATTTCAGTGTGATACCGCCTACCTGGTGACTTGCGTTCGCGTGCCAAAGTCCAGGGACCTCATCGACTGCAGCACTTCAATACAGCCCATGTACTAGGGAAAAGAGAGGGACAGAGAGAAAGGATTTTGTTAATATCTAGCAAACAGGTAAGAGGAGGATCACAGAAGGAAGCAAATGTGACTTCAGTCCACTACGTATATGCAGAACCACAACCTAAATGGAAAACCAAATCAACTATCCTAAAGCTGCTTCCTAAATAGATCACGTTTTACTGAAAAGCGTAGAGAAAAGCAATAAAGATACCAGTGGCTTCAACAACATAGCACACACACAAAAAAAAAAAAAAAGGTAAAGCACTTGGGGGGGCACAAAATTCAATCATTCCTTATTTCCAATTCTGCTTATTCTCACTGATTAGCCTGTGGCACTGAGCTGGGAGGAATACGTGAAGGCTGGAAGGAAATTGCATGGGAGCAGAGGGGCCTGGATGCCCTACAGGACCGATGCACTCAGAGCCCCCGTGCAGGAGAGCTGGATGTCCCTCCAGAGCAGCGGGAGGCATTACTAGGCATGAGGAAAACCACTGGCTCCATGCTGCTGCACGTCTAATGACAAATAACCTCTGCAGAAGATGAAGGAGGTAGAGTTGCAATTCCAGCTCATAGCAACGGCTCTTAAAAGCCTGCACTATAAACTGACCTGCTTTAAATTAGAGGCTGACTCCCACACTACTGTTGTATGGGGCACAGCTGGGGGCTTTTTCTATACTCGTTTGGGATTTGCATAGGACTAATTTTCAGAACCATCAAGAATGTGATGGCATGTCAGCCCATAGACTCCTTTGAAGTTCTGTACAAAACTGTAGAACATTTTCGTCTAAATGAAGCACACTAGGCTAAGTCTATCCACTGAGTTTACTTCTCCCAAAACATGTCTTACTAATTCTTTCAGCATTTCTGTTGATATCCATCTCTCTGCTGTTGAAGCACACTGACATCTCCATTTCATAAGGCTGGCATAGGTCTGGGTCTCAGTTCGTATCCCTCTTCCACAATGAATTTTCCTGGAGGGAAAAGGGCTTTCGGGAACATCCTGCAGTGCTCACACAGTGCCCGTGCGCTTCAGCGACAGCCTGCCTGCACAGACCTCTCCTGCAGAAATGCAAAGCCTCTGGGATACAGCAGATAGCCTGGAAATCCCAAGCAGGGACATGCATGCTCTGTCCTCTTGTTCTGAATGGACAGAAGAAGCACTCTCTGTCCAGAGAAAGGTACTGTATTTACCTCCTCTTCTTCAATTTGCCTGTGAATTGATTCTTCCACTGGGCCATTCAGAGGGGGTTGGATTTAGGTATCTGATGCAGCTTTGGAGACTTTCAGAACTGAATGTGTGTGTTACAAAGAGAACGTATGTGTGCGGTCAAGCAGGGATTCCACAACAATTGTATTATCCCTATTTTGGTTTCTTTCCAGATAGCAATGTAACCCTTGGGAGAACTCCAGAATTAGGTCAGAGCCCTGGAAGGACATCAGTAAGAATCTGGAGGGTTAGCAGAACTGCTTCCCTAATGAACATTTAATGACTATGTAAAGGACTCTGACAGCTATCTTACTTGTTAAAGATATTCCTGCTTAACAGGAACAAAGCAAATGTGGAAAATATGTCTACAGCCTCAGCTTGTAGCACAGTAGAGACCTCTGATCCTACAGTATAAGGTCAAGCATCCTGTGAGCTGGTTGGCTGCTCCTCTATCCTTGAGAAAAGAAAGATTTAGAGGAGTAGGTGAGTCATATGCTGATGAGTCCCCACTGCATCCTGAACAGATGCGTGGGAAGCTACTCTAAGCAAAGATGAAAAATCAATATTAGGTTTTTGCATAAGTGACCCTGAGTGAAGCTGAACTTATCAATGATTCACAAAAGACCTTTTTTTTTTTTTTTCTTTAAAAGCCTGAGTAGGGAAGTGCATTAACATGGCACCTCACTGCATCTCTCATTTATTTTAGCTGCCGTTGGTTATCTAAACCAGCACAGTTAGTAATGGCTGAACCTTCACATCTCAGTAGGAGCGTACAGAGAACCGGCAGAGCCCTGGGCAGGGGAACGCTGCGGGACTGGGACTGAGAAGTCGGGGTCACAGAGCTGGGGAGAAGCCCATGGAGCACATAAAAAGACAATGGGATACCAGAAGCCTATTCAAGAAAACAAAAGGCACTCTCTGAGGAAGAAAAAGGAATTAAGAAATAAACCAGGAAAATATTAACCCCTCCATAGCCAAGTCCAACAAGCAGCACGACTGGTGGAGACGAGAGAAAGGGGAAGGCAGGAGACAAGGGCGACATCTGTCTCAGAGACTTCTCCTGTGCCCGGACTCCACTTCAGGTGGTGCCCCTGCTCCCCATCCTGTGCACCCCAAACAGCAGCTCCCACAAAAGCTAGTGGGCTCGTCTGGGGATGCAGGGTCAAGGCCAGCTCCCGCTTTCCTGCTGCAGGGCAGGTTAAGCTGAAGCATCAGCAGGGCAGCAGCCATGGGGGCCCTCCCACGGCACCCAGGAGAGGCAGCCACCGCAGCGCAGCCACCGCAGCGTGCAGCCCTCACCCCAGCATGGCCACGGTCTGACAAGACCGACCTGCCCTGGAAGGAGCCCAAGCTATCTGCCAGCTGTTTTTGGAACATGGTGATAGCGGTGTTGAGGGTTCAGAGGTGGTGTCCAAGGAAGGGGGGGGGTGTCATCTTCCGAAGCCCTGCAAAGAGAAGCACGGAGCGGTTTCACTGAGCTGCCAAGGGGAAGCCAGGGGGAAGCTGGAGACAGGCACAAGGGTGCTGTAATCAGCCCAGGGCAATAAGCACAGGTGTAATTCCAGAATTCAGCTACCTACAGAAAAATACAACGCCAACATTGAAACAAGCCGAGCGCTAAAGACTTGACATCACCAATGTAAGCGTATGCTGAACCCACTGATCTGTCGCAGCAGAACGGAGAGCTCTCGCCAGGATGAGCAACAGCTCTCAGGAGGGAGGAGAGAGGAGAGGGAGAGGAGAGGGAGAGGAGAGGGAGAGGCGAGGGAGAGGGAGAGGAGAGACTCGCTGGCACCGGCTGGACAGGGAACGGTCCGTGCGCGG